CCAGAACCGACAATGAGGTAGGCCTGAGAAAGAAGAGGGCAAAAATTAAGTAATCAAATTTATTACAGACAACCAATACAGAATACATATATCAACCAGACATGTTTTTGAAAGTTTTTGAAAGCATCCCTTAATTCTTGTACTGGGTTCGGTATGTACTGTGAGTAAGCAGATGATTTCCTGCACCCCACTGTTTTTATAACATGAACTGGAATGTTGACACTGGAGGCTGTGGATGCTGCCCCTATGCGGAAGGAGTGCCCTGAGTAGTTAGCTGCGTTGAGGCCCATTTGAGTGAGTAAAGACCTGACGTAGGTCATGAAGGTTGTAGTGGTGAGTACCGAACTTTGTAGTAGGAATAATGGTTGTGATGGTAGTAAATTATGATGTTGAATGTATGCATCAATAATCTTGACGGGATACCACCTCTTGTGTGTGGGATAGTATGTTATTTGTACTGGTGCATGCTGACTGGTTTTGGAGTGAGGTAGAGTCAGGATGTAATGATCCATGTGTTTTGCTAAGTGGGAATAGAGGAGAATAGGAGTAGATAGTGTCACGTTGGTTGTAGTGAATTCTCTAGGTCTTAGGAATCCATAGAAAGATATGTATATTGCTGCTTTGATGACAGAATTTGTGTTGGTGTCAAAAGGGTTTAAATCAAGCAGGTCAGACAATGCTTTGAAGATATGGTTGTCTATGGGTAGCCTCTGTGATGTACGTGTGGGTTCAGATCTCTGAATGCCTTTGAGGATAGTCTTGATCTAGTGAGATGCCATGAAACGTGTGTTGTTTGGTTGTAAGATTAGCATATGGTGTTGAATGCCTGTGAGATAAAGTTTGATGGTGTTGTATGACATTTTAAGTTTAAGGTGGCAAAAAGAAGCAAAACCCCAAAAAGATGTCATGACAAGGTTGCATGATGTTATGTTCCAAAAGGAATCTTTTGAATAATGCAAAAGCCCTGTTGGATGTTTTGTGCGTATTTTTTGACAGTGCCAATTGGGACAGTGCCCTGCTATGACGCATGATGGTCTCTAGTCCAGTATTAGTTGGTGAAATGTTGGAGTAGTGGTGGCTGTGAGCGCAGCTGACGGGAGCGCAAACTGTCAGCAGCTGTGTTACATATTCCTGGAACATGGAAACAATATAGAAAGAAATTATGACAGGCCGCCAACCAAGTGAGTTTCCTCAGAAATCTCATGATCGTAAGGGATTTGGAACGATCTTTGTTGATGATGTGACAGGTTGCCTGGTTATCTGAGTAGCAACGTACTTGCATGTTTGCCCATAAATGACCCCATGCTACGACAGCCGCCACGATGGGATAGATCTCAAAGAGAGCTGAGGTAGTGGAAAAACCTTCCAAATCCTGAACTGCTGTGGGCCAGCTGCCCCAAAGCCATTCGTTCCCAAAAATTGCTGCAAAACCTGTGGTAGATGCCGCATCTGACCAAATGGTAGGTGATGAGTCAGTCAATTGAGGGTGGAACATACTTTTACCATTTCAAGTGGTTAAAAATTTCTTCCACATGTGTAAGTCTGCAGTAGCTTGAGTATCTAAGGACAACCTGTGTGTGTCGTGTAGGAAGAGTGGAAAAAGATACAGGAGGCGTGATATGAAGAAGCGGCCTTGAGGTATGATACGCATGGCAAAATTTAGTGAACCCAGCAAGGACTGTAGTTCTTTGCGGTTGCAAGTACCAAGCTGAAGATAGTGGTCGATGTAGGTAAGAATTTTCTCTATCTTGTCGTGTGGCAGGCTTGCTTGCATTGTGGTTGAGTCTAATTGAATAACCAGGAATGTGATAATCGTGTCTGGCCCCTCTGTTTTCTTTGATGAGATTGGAACACCTAGCTGCTCGAATAGCTTGGTGGTAGCTTTGAGGCTACTGGGAGGGGAAGTATTCTCCTCGACCAGTAAGATATCATCCAGGTAGTGTAATACAATAGGGCATCTGGCTATGCTCAATAGTAACCAGCACAATGCTTCGGCAAATGTATCAAAAATAGATGGGCTACTTTTGGACCCAAAAGTTAAACGGGAGAAAAAATAGTAGTTCCCGGACCACTTGATGCCATGCAGGTGCCACAGTGTGGGGTGGATTGGCAGCAATTTAAAGGCATTAGTAATATCGGTCTTACTAAGCCATGCTCCGACCCCTGCTTGTATGATAGCTGTAATGGCGTGGTCTATGGTGTTGTATTGCAGGGAGAATTCTTCGGAAGGTATGAGGGAATTAAGACTGGGGTTAGCCGATGAGTGTGGTGCAGATAGGTCAATGATGAGTCACTGTTTAAGGGAAGATTTCCCTGTGACAATACTAATGGGGTTAGTGCGACATTCTTTGAACGGAGAAGCCTTGAAAGGCCCCAATAAGAAACCCTCAGCAACTTCTTGGGCTTTGAGAGTGTCAACAGCTGTGTGGTTGTGTTGTGCCGATTGTAGATTAGGGCATTCCAGAATCCCGGACGGTATGTGTAGAATACCTGTGTGGAAGCCTTCTGTTAAACCAGAGATAAGAAAGTCTACCAAGTGTTTAGACGGGTGATGTGACAGAAATGCTGTAAAAACTGAAATATTTATGGACGTTAGGTAAGGCTTAGAGTACATTTTATTTGGACACATGGTTTTTGCATGTGCCCTAAAACATTTTAAACAGATATGCAATAATCTGCAACCGCTATAATTACAAGACCCAACATTGAAATTATTACATATCTGGGACTTGCCCAGAAACTTGATCGGGCATCCCAGTTTGTCTCTGGCCAATTTCTCTGGAACACCTCCTCAATTCCGTAGTTATACGAGGGATCGTCCAGGATCTGATCGATGCTGGACTAGTTACCTCTCCTCCTTGTGTAGGAGTGATAGCTCTAGCCGGAGTGCTAGGCAGGGAGAAATCCTCTACCCCTTCCTGAGACATACTAAAAATAAAACAATTAATTAGTGTATGAAAACCACCAAGATCGTACTGGCAGGCTAGCTGAGCCAGATGGCGAAACATTACACTTATTTGGTGACAGGTGAGGCCCTACTAGTTGCCAAGTGGCTTGAGAGGCTCTATCTATGCATTGGCATGAGAGGATTTGAGGCCACACGTCGTAGTGGCAGGATTGTAGGCCTCTCAGTGACTGTAACACAGAAAAACAGGGAAAGGGAGTGACAAGTGAGGCCCTCTCTATGCGACATGCAAGGCGACTAGCTCACGTGTGGCCCGATGGGTGTTTGCCTCCGAAACGTTGAGGCGGGGTGTTGGCCTCGCTGGACCACTAACTGATGGCAAATGCCAAGAAGGGGTAAATACCTATTGGGGAGCCTTTGATCCTATTGCCAGTACTCTAACCTAGGGGGGAGAAATGAAATGTATGGCAGAATACCATATGAGCAGGCGTACGTACCTGGTAGTATGAATATCTCACAGCGAATTCATGTGGTGAAATATATATATAGACCTGGACAGCCTGAAACGGGTAAAATAAAGAAAAGGGTAATATAGTGAGTGTGGACTGTGTGGGAATGATGTAGACTCTGTAGCCCGTTGTAGCGGTACTTACCCTTTCCAGGGGCCGGCCGGGGTCCTCTGTTCGAGCCGCGCGCGGTCCTGCTGCTGCACGAGCAGCGCGCGGCTCAGCCGACCGCTGTGACTGGAAAGCGGTCACGTGTTCCACCTAACTCTAAGAGCGCGCCGCGGGTATCGGGCGCGCTCTTAAAGGGACAGTGGGTGCCTAAATTGGAAAAGGCATCCCATTGGTCCCTGTCATGCCACACTCCCCATACACTTACCTTTTGGGGGCGTGGATGTGACAGGGACCAATCAAATTAGATGTTTAGGTATTTATACTCACCTTCTTTCCCTTTGTTCCTTGCCCTATCGTGGTTTCTGTATCAGTTCCCTTTAGCGCTTGTTGTGTTCAGTTGTGTTTCTCCGTATTGACCTTGGCTTTGTTTCTGACTACGTTTTCTCTTTATCCTTCTGTTCTGGTTGTCGGCTTGTTGTTTACTGTGTACCAGACCCCGGCTTGTCCTAGTTTACGCTGTCTCTCTGTGCCCTTGATTTCGGATTGTTCCTGACTCTGTCTCCTCTCATATACGTCGAGTCCGGCCATTCTAAGGTCCGGTAGACGTATCTCTCCTCTGTGTTGTCTTTTGTTTAGCTGAATCCTGCGTGTTGGGGTATATTCTCGTTACATTACGATAGGGCCATGGACCCCGCAGATTTGGCTCAGCAAATGGCTTCTCACGAGGCAAGGTTTGTAGAGCAGGATCACCGTATGGATCAGATAGCACAGGCTCTCCAGACGCTCTTGTCTAGAACCATTCCTGCAACCGCACCTAACCCTCCTACACCTCATCCTCCCGAAGTATCCAATTCAACCAATGCTTCGCCCCATTTAACACCTCCTCCTAGGTATGGAGGGGAAGCCAAGACATGCAGAGGTTTTATTAATCAAATAGAATTCCACCTTGAGATGTATCCTCATTCCTTTCCCACTGATAGGTCTAAAGTGGGGTTTTTGATGCATCAACTTACTGACAAAGCACTAGAGTGGGCAAATCCTATTTGGGAGGCCAATGGACCTATGGTTCATGATTTCAATAGTTTTCTTGCGGCTTTTCGTAGAACTTTTGACACAACAAAGAGGTCAAAGAATGCCGCAAGAGCATTAATGAGGATTAAACAGGGGTCTAGGTCTGTGGCGGATTATGCTATTCAGTTTCGTACCCTTGCTTCACAGGTAGATTGGACCAATAATGGGTTAACTACTGCGTTCATGGAAGGTTTATCTGACACTATATTAGATGAGGTAGCGGCAAGGGAGCTTCCTATTCCATTAGAGGATCTTATTGACTACCTCATTGATATAGATAATAGAATTCGCGACAGGCTCTATACCA